TGCCAAGCCTCACAGCTCAACTTGTAGTGATACATATGCAAAGCTCCAACTTAGCACTGTAGACTAATACCATTTGTTGTATTTGTTATTTTTTGCATTTTGATATCTGACCTATTTATAAAAGATACACATATGTAGACCAGCTGTTTCCTGCACACTTTTCTCTTTTGTGTTTATGTGACCTGCACTTTTTAAAACTTTGATGTTTCTGCCTTCGGTTCTTCTTAATCATTTCCTTAAGAATTTCTTAAAAAAAAGAATTTCTTAAAAAAAAAAAAAATTTCTGATTCCTCAGTTACTGTTTTGTTCCCTCATCACATTTCAGTTTAAATCCATCTACTTCAGCCTTACCCCATTAGCTAGTACCACACTAATCTCTTGCAGCATTACTACTAATATAATTGTTTCTGATCATTTAGAAAAGAAAAGAAGGGAAAAAACGAAAGAACTAAGAATCTTGTCTTGATTCTGAAAAGCTGTATGATATAGGCTTGAATGTGTTTTACATATAAAGTATGTGGCCAGATAACATTTTAAGATAATCCCTAAGCCACTTTGCAAATATGTAGAAACTCCTGATCTTTTCAACATCTCCCCACCTCATGCCAAAAACATAGATACCTTAATAGCTGTTCTTGCAGAAAACTAAGGAAGCTGAGGTTTGAGAAAACCTCTTATGAGTTAGTTTTGCATGATATTTAAATTTTACCTCAATTCCTACAATTGGTAAATATTTAGTCCTAATCTACAGGATTCAAAACTAATAATTTGTAACCCCAGCCCTCTTGGGAGGCAAGTTCAAGCCCAGCCTGGATAACTTAACAAGATTCTGTCTCAAAAAACAAAAACAAAACATAAACAAACAAACAAAAAAGAGTACAAGCGAGAGCTGGAGATAGAGATACAGCTCATTGTGAAGATCCTCATGGTATTTGGTTCAGTCCCCAATTCCATAATAATAATAACAGCAACAAGAATAATAATGATTTGTTCGGGGCTGGGGAGATAACTCCAGTAGAATTACCCTGAGTTCAATCCTCAGTACAGCAAATAATACTACTACTACTACTACTACTACTAATAATAATAATAATAATAATGATTTGTTCAAAGTTACTGATTGAGGTTAAAATGTTCTAAGTATAAAGTTTTCTCAGCTGTATGAGATTCATAGTACATTACATGTACTAATCAGTGAAGATACTAGGACTTTATGTGTATTGTACATTTTATAATTCATAAAGAATGTCAGAACAGAGAGAGAAAATGCCTGATCCTGGGTGATAAAACTTGAAAATAATTCTTAGTAGTTGTCTTTTGAATTATTAAACCTTGTAGTCAGTCTCAGATTATTTATTCTTGCTGTTTCTCTGTATAATGTATGTAATATGTCAAAGGAAAATTGCCCTTTAAAATTAAAGAGATTAGGATTCATATCCAGCATTTGAACTAATTTAAGGCTGTGTGACCTTAAACAAATTATCACTGATTTCATTGGATACTATCCAATTAAAAACACATTGAGGAGCTACTGATAACAGCCCACGTGAGTCTCACATTGATTATATAGAGGAAAAGAAGCCAGATTTAAAAGGCTATATGCTCCATGCTTTTGCTGATAGGTAATTCTGGACAAGTCAGAATTCTTGGAATCAGGAAGCAGATCATGAATTTCTAGGTACTGTGTGTGGGAGAATATGACTGCAAGGACCTAGGCCAGTCATATGGTTGTAGCACTGTTTTGCATCTTGATTGTGGATGAAGTTGGATGCATATATGTGCTTGTTGAAATTCATAGAACTACACCTTTTCAAAGTAAAGAGTAGGGCTAACAAGATAGCTCAGCAGACTAAAGCGCCTGCTTAGGCAAGCGTAGGGACCGCACTTTGATCCCAGGCACCATGTGCCACACCAGTCCCACCCTCAGTGTGTGCTGAGCCAGCCAGAGTCCAAGTGTGGTGGCACATGCCTATAATCCCAGCACTGGGGAGGCTGAAAGCAGGAGGATCACCACCAATCCAAGACGTGTGAGACCCCACAATAACCAGATACATTAAAAAAGTAAAGAGTAAATTTGCTATGTGTAACTTACACCTCAATAAAACTTTTTTGCTACTGACTTCATTTTAAAAATCATAGCCCAAATCTTTAAGGATTAATAATAGTGAAAAGTGTCCACTGACGCATATCCACCTATGATTATTGAAATTTTAATGACCACGAACTGGCAATATAGATCAGCAGACTAGCTTACCCTTAGGTAAGCGCAGGAACCAGGGTTCAATCCCTGGCATCCCATGTCGCACTGGCCCCGCCCCTGGGCACGTTGGGCTGGTGATGGGGTCCAGGTGTGGTGGCGCATGCCTGTAATCCCAGCACTAGGGAGGCAGAGATCAGGAGGATCACTAAGAGTCCAGGTTGCATAGTGAGACCCTGCATACAAAAAACCTTAAAAAAAAAAAAAAAAAGAAATTTTAATGACCAGTGGATAGAAGATATGCATAAATGAAAATTTAAAAATGACTTAATTTTGAATAGTTGTAAAGTTGTCTAATTTTCTTGTTTATTGAGATAAGTTCTCACTATGTAGTGAAGGCCTTCCAGCCTCCACCTTCCAAGCTATGGGATTATAGGTGTATGCCACCACAACTCACCTAAATTGTCTTTAGAGTAAATTAAAGCAATTGTATTAGAATCATTTTGGGTTCTTTTTCAGAAACTTTTGTCTCATACTCATCATTTTTTTGTTTACTCAGGGAGAGAAAAAGACTGCCGAGAATCTGTGTCTTTTAACATTTACACCCTTGACAGTTACTTCTACATTTGGGAAGCGCTGAATAGACTGCAGAAGTTTTATACCAATATTTGAGAAGAGGGAGGTAGTGGAGGGTTTCCTCTCCCTCTATATGCATACTTGAGTATGGAACTTACAAGAAAATGTAATGGACATGTTTCTGGTTTAAATATTTGTAATAAAACTTATTTTGGAGCTGGCCAGATAGCTGGACTGGCCAAATAGCTCAGCGGACTGAAGCGCTTGCTTAGGCAGAGTACAGTGGCCGGGGTTTGATCCCCAACATGCCATGCCAACCCCACCCCTGGGGTGCGCTGATGGCAATTGAGACTTGGCATGGTGGCGCGTGCCTATAATCCCAGTACTTGGGAGGCAGAAGACTGGAGGATCACTACGAGTCCAATCTATGTAGTGAGACCCTGTAGATCCTCTAGACCCTGTACTAAATACATTAAAAAAACAAACAAACCAAAAAAACTTATTTTGGACTCAAGGACTACATCTTAGTTATCAAGAACAGTGTCAGCAATCATAGCCTTAAGTCTCAAATCCTTGAAGTCCATATTTGAGATGAGGTCTCACTATATAGTTCAGGCTAGCCACTCTGTGGAACTAGGCTAGCCTTAGTCAAATATGCTGGCAACACAGCTGTGCACTGTGATACCCTGCTTTGAAATCCTTTTCATCAATGCTGTATTGCAGCATGATTTTTGCATTAAGTACTTTGTATTTTCAGATCATAATAAAATTACCTTTAAGAACCTAATTTTGTCCATTAATACATGTGTTTGTTACTCTAATCAACAGACTAGATTTAGAGATACGAAGAAATGTAAGACAGTAGCCAACTACAGTGGTGAATGCCTGTAATCCTAGAACTTGAGTAGCTGAGGCAGGAGGACCCCTGGGAATTTGAGGCCAATCTATACTACATAGTGAGATCCTGTCTCATAAAAGTAATATAAACCCCACTCTTAAAGAATTATCTTGGAAGATAAGATAGTCACTAGTCACATATGATAGTATTTTGCTAATAGAGTAAAGAGCTTCATTCAAATTGTTATTATTAAAAGATAGCCATAAATATCTAGGCCATGGCATCATTATAACACTAGATCAGTCATACTGTGAAAGGGAGTCAAGTCTAATTCCATTAACTGGCAGAATAATACATAGTTGAAGAGATCAATCTACCTACTGGGAACAGAGAAGACCTATAGTAGGTAGACCCACCTGTAGGTTCTAGAAGGAAATATAAAAGCTACAATATCTAAACAATACAATATCAGGTCATTGTCCAAGTAAGTGCTGCACCAAGCCTATAAACAGAAATCAAATAAACTCGATATGGAAGGTATAGTCTTAGAATCTAGACAGAGCCTGGTAAGACCTATTGGAATGAGGTAATTGAGAATAGGTGTAAAATTTTTTGTGATGATTAACTTCTGTTGCATATTTTAACAAAGCTTTCAGTTAATAGGTTTTTTGGTTTTTGTTTGTATTTTAGTAAGGTTCTACAGGGTCTCACAACGTTGATCAGACTTGTAGTGATTCGTCTGTGTTCAGCCTCCCAAGAGCTGTGATTGTAGGTACACACCACCACGCCTAGTCTCAATCACCAGCTCAGCTTGCCCCAGGGGCAGGGCCAGCATGGCACACATGCTGGGGATCAAACCCCAGCTGCTGTGTCTGCCTAAGCAGGTGCTTTAATCTGCTAAGCTATTTGGCCGGCCCTTGTTAATAGTATTTTTATTTTTAACTTTTTCTCAATTGATTAGGGACAGCAAAACATAAAATCTTGTAGTAGAGCTAGACAAAGTTTTTCAAAGATCCCTTTGACATATTGATATTTATAATAATGCAAGGAAATAAGATGGAAAGTAATTTTTTTTTATAATTTTATTTATTTATTTAGTGTGTGTGTGGCCAGTTCAGCCCAGCAGGGGGCGGGGCTGGCTGGCATGTGGTGCTGGGGATTGAACCGCGATCTCTGCTTTTGCTTAGCTTAGCTTGTTCTAAGGAGGTGCTTTAGACCACTGAGCCATCTCACCAGCCCAATGGAAAAGTAATTTTAAAGCTGAATGTGTTCATGTGTTCCTTAACAGATAATGTATTTTTTGGCAATCAAAGACTGTGTTAAGAGTTAGGTTTTGGTATGAAGCAGGAAACTTAAAAAAATTAAAAACGGTCCTTGCTTGCATTTCAGAGATTAAAAGCTGCTTTGACCCAGCAACATCCTCCAGTTACCAATGGTGATACTGTGAAAGGTCATGGTAGTGGACTGGTCAGAACTCAGTCAGAAGAATCTCGCCCACAGTCATTACAACAGCCAGCCACATCCACTACGGAGACTCCGGTATGTGTTTTTATCATTTACCATTCTTGTCTTCTTGAAAAAGACAAACACAATGCAACATAAATGACTTCTGTATATATTTTGAAGGAAAACATATCTGGTCGTATTCTTTTCTAAAACTGTATCAAAATCAATAGGCTGACTATGTTGAGTGGTAGAGGACTCCCCTGGCAATATGGGAGGCCCTGGATTTAAACACCAGCCCATGACCCCTACAAAAAAAAAGGTTTGTAGACCAAAACTATATCAAGCCTTTAGGAAAGATGGGTCAGTATGTAAATATTGATACAAAAATAAATAAAAATAATAGATCAATCATTGTGTGAGACATCTGTGATTTGGGGGATTTGATTGTTTTTGAGTTGGGGATTTCTGTTCGTTTTTGTATTTGAGAATTTGAACCCAAAGCCTTAACTTTGAGCTACATCTTCCACTCTCTTTTTATTTTATTTCATATTTTGGGGAAGGGTCTATAGGGTGTTCAGGATCTCACTACTAGATCGCACTCTTAGTGATCTGCTTGTTTACAGCCTCCCAAGTGCTGGGATTACAGGCTCACGCTGCCACACCCAATCTCAGTTGCCATCTCAGCGCACCCCAGGGATGGGGCTGGCACAGCAGGCCTGGGGATGAAATCCCCGGCCCCTGCACCTGCTTGCAGGCCTTTTAATCCACTGAGCTAGGCCAGCCCTTATTTTTTATTTTTTGAGACGTGCTCTTGCTAAGTTTGTAAATTGCCCAAACATGTGATCCTCCTGCCTCAGCCTTCCAGAGTGCTGGTACTATGTGCATGTAGCACCATACCTAGCTCCCTATAAAAGTGTTTTCTGTAAGTATTTATATGTATATTGATCTGACATGGCACAATAAATAGTTTTTAAAGAAACTAGTATTCTAGTATCGTGAAATTGAAGCAATAAAACATTTGAGAAATGTACTTCATCCCATATTTCTTGATTGACAATCTTTAGAGTTCAAACTTTGTCCTCTTGGGAAGTTTTGTGTATAATTAGAGAAATATTAGAACCTTACGTTGAGAAAGGTACAAAGTTTTGTTCTTTTAACTGTCACAAAATATGAACTTGTTATAAAACAAATTACAACTGTTAAGGTATTTTCTTTGCTGAAATGTAAACTGTACTCCAGTGTGGCCTGTTTAGGTTATGTAAAAATTCAGTAAGATATGGACAATAACTATTTGAGTTGTTGAATGTGGTACTCTTCAGAAATGTACATAGCTTCCTTCTTCAAGTAGCAAAACCAAGATCTTTGTAAGGAATCTTTGGATCTCTTTTTTTTCTTATCATGAGTTTTCCCATTTCCTATAATGACTTACATTGGTAATGCATATTACATAGCCATTGTGATGGTCTCTGTAACCATCAGCTACTAGGACTATTAACTACTCTTCCAGATGTTTCTTCTTTTTTTTATATTTATTTTTTTATTGAGAAATAAATATGAATGAGACAGTTTCACAGCTGATTAATAGGACAGTTTTGATAGTCAGTACACTGTACATTGTTATCTTCTTAGTGGTTATCCATAGTACAAGGTTAAATACTATAGGTGTTTGAATTCAACTAAACAATCTAACACTGTCTAGCAGTCTACAGTATTAGTAGGTTATCCTTAGAAGTTATTGACTTGAGCCTCTTCCAGATGTTTCATAGAGACATGTTTTTCCTTTAGTAATTCTTGTTTCTGTTTTTAATATTTTCTCAATATAAAGTATTACTCTTCTATTTGTATAAATATCTTACTTGGAGGTAATCAGAACTATCAGAAATATATAGATATTCATGCACACATGTATATGTCTATATATATAATTGACATAAATTATTCTTGAATTAAAATTTATGAATTGCCACCAAAGGAGTAGATGCAGCTGTTTATACTGGGGACCCTTTTTACTTATTTCTGTGGGTCCCTATCATGATTGATGTTTCTGCATATCTACTCTTTTTCTACAATAAGGGGTTACTATGTTTCTATTCAGTGTTTCAGAACTCTAGTGAAGTATTGACATCAAAAATCAAGTTTCCAATCAAATAAACTTAAAAGGTTTAAATTGCTATCTATGCAGAGGTATTTAACTATATTTTATCTTTATAAAACTTAGGATAAAATGGAACATAGTTGTGGTTGTTACCCACTAAATAACCTTACTTGGTGGTTAAGAGAAAAAGTGAATAAGTGTGCAGCAAGAGAAACCACCAACAGGGCGAAGAGGAAACCTACAGTGTAAGAAAAAATGTTTGCCAGCTGTTCCTCAGACAAAGGATTGTTCTTGAGAACATAGAAAGTACTCAAAAATATCATGCCTCACAAATTAATTTAACGACCCAATCTAAAAATGAGCATCTGAGATGCATCTACACTTCTCAGATGAAAAAGTTTAAATAGCAAATAAATATATGAAAAGTGTTGAACATCCCTGGTCATTTCAGAGATGGAAATTAAAACCACACTGAGATTCTCTTTTACTCCAGAAAGAATGACTATTATCAAGAAATCAACCAATTAAAAAAAAAAAAAGAAAGAAAGAAAGAAATCAACCAATCACAAATACTGGAGGGGCTGTAGGGGGAGAAAGGAACTCTTCTCCACTGTTGGTGGGAGTGTAGACTGGTGCAACCACTGTGGAAGTCGGTGTGGGGAGTCCTCAAAAAAACTTAGTATTAAAGGTTCCATTTGACATAGCTGTTCCCTCCTTGATATCTCCCCAAAAGAGTTGAACATGTCATACCATAGCAATATATGCACACCCATGTGTATAAGCAGCTGTTTGTAATATCCAAATCTTGGAAACAACCCAAATGCCCATCAACTAGTGAATGAATAAAGAAGATGTGAACTTTCTCTATACAATGGAATACTACTCTGACATAAAGAAGGATAAGCTCAAGATAATTCTAGGTAAATAGATGCACCTTGAGACCATAGTCTTAAAGTAAATCAGTGACACGTGTAAATACTGCATGGTTTCTCTGATGTGAGAAGCCTAAAGTTGTAAATAAGGACCAAAATGTATGCTAGGTATTGTGAATTAGGAAGAAAATGTTCAAATAGGGAGGGGAACGAGGAAGAGGGGGGGTGAAAAGAAGGAAAAAGTAAAAATAAGAAACAAAGGGAAAATGGGAACAAACCTTTTGTAAATGGAGAGTGGAAAGGGGGTTGAAGGGAGGGTAGGGGAATAGGAAATAGAAGAATCATGTTATATCATGTACAGGCACAAATTCTATGATGAATGTGATCAGTATGTGTCCTGAAATATACCAATAAAATCTGATGAAAATCAAGGCTCTTGTGAGATTCTCTCCCTGTAAATAAGCATTAATTATAAGAACCTAACCCTTTAAAAAAGACCCTAAATAGCTGCACAAAATATGTATGTATTTTACCCCCTACTTTTAGAAAAAACACGTTTAAAGACAGTTTACAGATGTAATGTAAGATGTATTTTATTTCAAAAATAGCATTGAAAACATAACATGGTTTCCTTTCACAAATTTAATTAGAAAGTTATTAAGTTTTTTACCTTTAGTAATGTAAAATCAGTTTTTTTTGGAGATTGAATAATAAAGTATTAAAAAGTACATTTGGAAAAATATAAGCTCTATATATGATCACTTATATTGCGTCTTCACATTTTTATATTACTCATATGTAAGTGAAAATATTATATATACCTTAAAGACTACGTTTACTGTTTCGCTTCATACCTGAGAATTTTGTTATAATCAGCTCATTTATTTTAGAGAAAGCATTAAACTACAGGGTGATTCTCATGTTTCAAAATACTGACATATTCAACAAGACTCAGAAAATAAAGTTAATAGCTTTCCCTCTTTGAGACTCTTTACTGCCTGTGTTAATACACTCATTAGACATAACATCTGTGTTTATCATAGGCCTCTCCAGCTCACACAACTCCACAAACCCAAAACACAAGTGGTCGCCGAAGAAGAGCAGCTAATGAAGATCCTGATGAAAAAAGGAGAAAGTTTCTGGAGCGAAATAGAGCCGCAGCTTCAAGATGCCGACAAAAAAGGAAAGTTTGGGTTCAGTCCTTAGAAAAGAAGGCAGAAGATTTGAGTTCATTAAATGGTCAATTGCAGGTATGTGCATAAATGTGAATTTTGTTTTATTTATTCATTTCTAATAGTTATGAACATAGCTTTTCCCTGTATCTTTATAATTAGTCGGCCTTTCATGGCCAGATAGCTCAGCAGAATAAAGACTGGGGTTCAAACCTGGTGTTGTGCGCCATGCCAGCACCATTCCTGGGATGCACTGAGACACAACAGAATGGGCGTGGTGGCGCACACCTATAATCCCAGCGCTTGGGAGGCTGAAAACAGGAGGATCACTACGAGTCCAATGTAGTGAAACCCTGTAGACCTTGTAGACCCTGTATTAAATACGTTTTAAAAAGTAATTGTAGTGTATAGTTGGCCTTTCAGATATTTTAGGATATAACATTGGGCATGTGCAGAATCTATCATACATCATAATTTTGTAAAACTGAATATTGAGATGAATAGAAGATTTTCAAACTTGACGCTATAAATGAATTTAAAATAATTGTTTATGTATGAAGTACAAAATACCTAAAATACCAAAATACCTAAAATAATTTCATAAAGATATGAAATTATTCACTTCAAAGAAGTCAATTTATAAAGAGTACAAAATCATATTAAAACAGAAAAATTACAAGTGATACAGAATTTCACTTAAAGTCATAAGAATTTCACAATATTTGTTGTAATGTACAGTGTTGTCTTCCAACCAGTTATTCATATTACCAGACGCATGCATGCAAAATAGGAAGAAGAAAGAAATATATAAGAAATTAAGAGGAGAAAAAGTTGAGAAAAGGAGATGAAGCAAATTAAGCATTATCAGGCTGCGGAGATGGCTCAATAAAATAAACACTGTATTATCTGCCCCTTCCGTAGACCAGCAGAAATCCACAGTGCAGTTGTCCAAACCATCGTGCTTATATACATGGTACATAGATGTATCTCTTTCCCCCACTCTCTTTCTTGTCCAGAGGTTTAAAATTTAGAAGTATCAGTATAATTTTACTTTTCTTGCTTATTTTTGTTTATATCATAAACATAAAGTTGCTTCAGCAGTAGTTTTTATTTTTAAACTCTTGAGTTATAAATTATTTTAAGTGAATATGGTACTTATCAAAGGTGCCAGAGTGACTGCTTTGGAAACTGAACAACGTCAATTATCCACAGCACAGATAGAAACTGGCCAGTAGCAGCACAGATGACTTCATGCTGCCCTGCCAGTGTGCCTCAAAATCCTTTCTTAGAACCTCATGCAGTAGGAACGTTTTAAGTCTTCACTCAGTCCAGTAAGATTTCCAATGACATTATCTGATAGGACCAGGTATATTTCCTTTCCTCTGTTTTTTAATTTCATTGTTTTTACATTGTGAGTACCAATTAATGTCCACCAACTAGAAATTGATATTAGTGTGTTGCAATTATTAACATAGGCCAGTCATTATTAAAATGTTAATGTAAGGGCTGGCGAGATAGCTCATCAGACTAAGCACCTGCTTAGGCAAGTTCAGAGACCAGGTTTCAATCCCTGGCACCACATGTTATGCTGGCCCTTCCCCGAGGCACGTTGAGCTGGCCAGAGAGACCAGGCATGGTGGCACACACCTGTGACGTCAGCACTAGGGAGACTGAAAACAGGAGGATCACTACGAGTCCAGCTGTGTAGTGAGACCTGTACCAAATACATAAGAAAAAGAAAATTTTTTGTAATGTGATACAAGTAGGTATTAATTTTAAAAATACAAAACTCTTCAATTTTTTAAATTTCATGACTAGAAATAACAATGGTTAATATACTATGTGTCATGATCGTTGAATGAATGGATAAAGAAAACAGTACTTACATATAATGGAGTAATACTCTTGCACCAAAAAAAAAAAAAGTCTGGCACAACAAAAGGCATTAAAAGCCAAGAGTGGTGGTACACACCAGTAATCCCAACACTTGGGAGGCTGGGGGCCAGAGGATTGCTGTGAGTTTGTGGTTCCCCGGGGCTACCTAAGTGAGTTCAAGCCTACCTGCACTACATAGTGACACCCTGCCTTGAGATGTGATGCAATGTGATGCGATGCAAAGCAAAGCATAGCATAGCATTGACAGGCATAAGTCAGACACACAAGCTTAAACATTGTATCGTTTGTCCAATGAGAAGTGCACTCTCTCATATATATATTGAGAAATTGATATTTTGAATATTGAATATTGACATGGTATATCAGATTGCCTTACAAATATAATTTTAGTGATTTCATTTTATTTTATTTT